ATGGTCAGGGGGAGGGGAGGGAGGGATTGGTCACGAACAACAACAGTGTAATTTATATAACATCCTTCGTTCGGGGTAGAGTCTCTGAGCACTTAAAATACACTTGTAGACGAAATCCTGAGAAATACACGGCTACAGTTTAGAGTTTGCTTTTCAAGATGATTAAAATAATTGACAACCTTGTTAATCATTTACGTCCACATTATGAGACACTGTATCGCGAACAGGAAAGAGGCGGTGGGGCGTGTGGGGAGAGGAGAAACAGTTTAGTTGATTCATTTTCTTTAAAAAGCAACATATACAGGGTTTTGGGTATCTAGTTTGCATTTTAGAAATTTCCAGACAGCACGGACAAGATTGTCTGTAAAGGTGACAGCCCCGGTTTTTGGGGAGGCTTTGTAGCAAACGCATTTCCTGGAATAGTCTACGCTCTTAAACCTCAGCTGACGATGATAATAATAATAATAATAATAATAATAATAATCCTTGCATTTGATAGAGTGCTTTTCACGTCTTCTAGACGTCTCGAGCGCTTCACAAAATATACTGTTAAGTGAATTGACTGTGCATTTTGTGGGCGAAACCCGGCAGCCAATTGCGCACAGCGGTGTCTCACAAACAGTCGTGGATCGTGCGACAATTATTATTTTGTTTGTTTGTTTGTTTATTTATTTATTTTGAAGGGATTATTATCCCCGGAAAGCGATTCACCGATCGACTTAACAACCGGGTTCCTGCTTACTGCTAGGTAACAGAGGCGTGTGCGTGTAGAGTAAGGAAACTTGCCTAAGGTTTCGCCCCGCCCGGGAATCAAACCCAAGTCCTCTCGCTTGCGAGGCGAGCTCTCTAACCAATACGCTACAGGACTCTTCCGTGAACTTGTCATTTGTCCTTCTGTATGAAAGTTCCCACCACTCCAGTCGATGACTGCGATATACCTTTAACAGCTTTGACTCAAAAGTCCCACGCGAAAGAAAGAAAAGTGGGTATATAAATGCAAATGTTGTTTTTGTCTGACGTGTACCTACGTCCATTAAACCTGGTGAAATATTCTGCGTGCCGCTTTACCCAACTCTCTTTCCCTTTCATTTTTCTTCGCTCTTTGCGTTTCACAAAGTGGGAAAAAGGAAGAGGGACTCGGTCAAGTTTGACCGGGGAGGAGAAGTTAACGGTGGCTGAAGGGAGAAGTTGGTATTAAAGGAGTGGGAGTGGCAAGAAAATGATTTCCATGGAGGGAGGTTAACGGAGAAGGGGAAAACGAGCAGTTTGGGTCAGGAGAGGAGTTTGGGACTGTACAATCTTCATACAATTTGCGGCAATTGCTGGCTTGATTGTACGGGTTCGGAAGCCATTTCTTTAGATCTGCCGGTAGTTAATGTTGTACCCCTTTCTTTTTCCCTTCTCTAGGAGGAACCAGCTGGTGCTCTCACTCCGAAGCGACCTCGAGGAAGACCAAAAGGAAGCAAAAACAAATCGACTTCAAAGTCTGGCAGGGTAGGTGCTTCCAGCCCAGAACCCTATATTTACTGTTGCAAGCCACCTGTCCTTGTGAAACATTTGATCGAGCAGATTGCAGGCTCTGCGTTAGAACTCTGCGAGAGGAACGTGCGTGTATCATAACCGCTTCATTTCAAAGTGCGCGTGGTTGCCATACTTGCGCGGTTGAATGCGTCGTTTTCTCGATGGACGGCCGCGCTCACTTTGCAGGAGAAGTGGTGACAAACCCAATCGTATAAAGTTAGTCTCTCTACAAGGCCATTCGTATTCCTTTGGCCATTCGTTGTCATTACGCCTGATAATAATCCCTCAAGAAAAAAAACCAACAATAAAATTGATCGCTTCAATCCATGAGTGTTTGTGGGACGCTGCTGTGCGCAATTGGCTGCCGCGTTTCGCCCACAAATATACAGTCAGTTCATTTTACGATCTATTCTGTGAAGCGCTTTGCGACGTCTCGAAGAAGTGAAAAGCGCTCCCATCAAATGCAATGATGATTATTATTATTATTATTTGATGCTAGAAAGTGGATTAAGAATGGGATTGAAACCAGAGAAACCAGGTTCTCTTCCCCCGACACTTTAGTGGCAAAACAAACCTGAGAATGAATCGTGGAGACAGTCCTACCCGTCTGCTTCCTCTGCTTCGCGAGTATTTTCCTACTCCGTGTCCCCCGCTCAGCCTGCTCCATCATCGGCGGTCAGGCTTTCTGCCCCCACCCGCTGGAACTCTATCCCTTCCGCCCCGCTCCCTCCCTTGCCTGTCTTGAGACCTACCTCTTTGACCCTTCCATCTTCCTGCCTCCACTCCCTTTGCTCTCCATCCCTCTCGACTCCAACCCCCAACTCAGGTTGCAAACCCTTCACTGTCCAACGCCTTGGGACATCCTCCCGATGTGAAATGGCGTTATATAAATACAATTTGTGGTTGTTGTCTGTCAAGACTACTATGTAAATTGCTCCTTTTCAAGTGCGTGCAAACACGAGCCTCTCTCTCTCTCTCTCTCTCTCTCGCTCTCTCAAAGATAAATTAATCTGACTACTAAAATCCATGAAGTGTTTGTGAATTCCAACTTTGATCAGGTTAATCCTATTAAAGTTTTTTTTTTGGATTGATTTAAGATCACTGATTCAAAGGTACATTTAGATATCAGAACCGTGAGAGATTTTAATATAGTCAGGCAGTGTGCTGCGGTGTTAACAATATTTTTGTGTAGCAAGTTCACCAGCATAATCCAAAGTGCTTGCCAACAAATCCTAAAGTCATTACAATTGACAGTGATTACCTGAGAAGATTCTTTGTGAATATCGATGTGTATAGGCGCTGTAAAATGACACTTATCTACATTCCTGCGTATCCAGTTGATCGGGATGTGATTTAGCTGCATAGCATTCCCAGTAACCGAGCACAGTTTTTTTGCATTTGCACAACTGGATGTATTTTGCTGGTAGCAATACTTTTATATACTTTTATACTGTGTAGGGATAGAGTCCGGTAAAGTGATGGGGGGAAAAAAAGTCATAGAAAGATTTGGGGAGAGAAGAGTGAGGGAGGTTAATAACAATCCTTGCATTTGATGTAGAACCTTATCACATCTTCGAGACGTCTCAAGGCGCTTCACGGAATATACTGTAAAGTGATATTGACTGTATATCTAGGGGGGGGGGAAAGGCAGATTGTGTGAGAGAAAGAAAGAAAAAGCTGGAGAGAAAGCGAACAGCTGGCACAGTGTGGTTATATACTGCGAGTATAACTTCTGTATTTATATTCTGCGTGGTGACTAATTATCCCCCAGTTTGCTTATCTGCAACGGAGCTGGTCCCAATTAATGCGGGCAATTGCCTGTCTGGCGTTGTGTATTTGGGAGGATTAGAAGACCAACCACACTCACGATCTGTGAATGAGTCGACGTAGTTAAATAAAGTAGTTGTTTCCACGTCCTGGATTCATCTGAGTTTGCTTATGCATCACTGACCTTGTTTTCTCAATCAAGTACAGAGTGACCTTGTTGTAAAGTGCCCATTCCAGCACTTGTACACAATAGCATCACTGTGTTGGTAAACTGGATCTGCGCTATATCAGAAGTGCGGCAAACCCGGCTTCCCGTGGAGCTTGTCAGATCAACCTGACATCACTTCCTGCATGTCGGGCGCAGGAAGCACCCTCGATGTCCCTTTACTCACGTGGAGTTCTGCAGCTCAGTGGTTACAGCACTCGCCTCGCAAGCGAGAAGACCTGGGTTCGAATCCCGGACAGGGCGAAACGCTGGGCAAGTTTCCTTACTCCACACTTCTCTGTTTGTCCTGCAGTACGCAGGAACACGGTTGTTAGTCGATTAGTGGATTTCTTTTCCAGGGGTAATAATTCCTTCAAAAAAAAATTATTGGTCCTGCAACTAATTGTAGGACACTGCGCGATTGACTGCCACGTTTTACCCATAAAATATACAGTCAATTCACTTTACGGTATATTCTTTGAGGAGTCTCGAAGACGTGATAAGGCGCTATATCAAATGCAAGGATTATTATTATTATTAGGATTATTATTTACTGCTGAGTTTATGGACACAGACCACTGGTTGTGATGGGTTTCTTCTGTAGTTCAACATGTGCCAAGGCATCCTGGTGTTTAACCCTTACAGAACATATTCAAATTACAATGGGGAAAATTGCAAAAGAAAATCATCAGGAAATTTAGCTTATATCTCAACCTTTGATACCCTTATTTATCAACATACAGTGTTCGAGACTTACTGGGGACACTGCTGACAATTGTAACTGAACAACCTTAATAAATCCTGAGTTTGGCTCCATTTAATTACTTCCAATATTGCATTTATCACTTCCCAACTTCCTGTATGCCAAGTTAAAGGCCTGTGATTTAAAACAGTGTGCAATTTTCCCATGTGTGGATATTTGCCTCGAAAATTCCCGTCATTTGAATTTCCAGTATACCCTTTGCAATTTCCTCCCAACTTGAAAGGCACTCTATCACATGTAAGGATTATTATTATATTTTTAATTATTTTCGCCTCATTTGGTCTTGTAGAGTGCTTTTTTTTTTCCTGCTTGGAGCTCCCTCCCCATAGTATGGCGAAGAAATGCAATCAGTATTTTACGTTGATGTAAGGATGTGTACCCCAAATGCGACATAAACTTCATAACTCCTCACAGAGGCTAATATTCCGCAGGATTCAAACTCCCCAGCTGAACATCACGACTTGTGCTGGTTGTCGTGCTATTCCCTATTCAAATAAATATTTAATTCAGTGCTTGATTAGTAATGACGTAAGTATCCAAAAGAACACCTCACTCACCTATAACGTTCGTAACAAAGATGGACTGTACTGTATAAATGTCTCAGCCAATTGATGGTACCTTAGTTTAATCACGGCGGAGCTTTGTCTCAATATGTCCGCAAACTGCCTTTGCCTTCATTCAATCTGTGCTCTCCGATGTGCAGTTTCACACATAAAATATTGCTTCTATTTGCTGCGTTGCGCAAATCTTTGGGAGGTTCAGTTAAAGCAGGGCAAACATTGTGCTGTGGTCCTGCTTTGTGAGATATTACCGTAATCCATTTCCATGTCCCAAGTCTTTTTTTTCCAATTCCAAATCAGAAATAAATGAAAGATCCATTTCCAACAAACCTACTTATACATTCAATCTTGTTCCATTTTATTGGCGCTTTGAAGCGCTTTGCGCGAAAGGCTAGGATCCAGCACTGAACCTGAGGGTGAGCGAGAATAATAATAATAGTGCTTCAAATTAATGTAGCGCCTTATTACGTCAATGAGCCAAATCAAAACGCTTCACAGAATATACTGTAAAGTCAATTGACTGTATATTTTGCGGACTGAACAATAACAAATTGCATTTATATAGTGGCCTTCACGCAAGGCAGCATCTCGGAGCGCTTAACAGTGCTCAGCCTGACGCTGAGCCGAGAGAACAAGGAAACGTGACTGTTCACATGTCCTTATGTTCTTACGACTGCAATGTTTACAAATAAACCCATCCCGATGATCTATATTACAACTAAGCTGCCCGATTTTTTTTCTAAAAAAAAAACACAGAATCTATTTTCACTTGTCCTCACCGAAGCAATAAAGTGGATGTTTTGATGCTCTTTACCCGGCCGACTGCTTCTGTGGGGAGATTTGAAATTCATAATTGCACCTTCAATTGTCAATTTCCACTCTGATTGCGGTTCGCTGCTGAATTGCGGGATGAGGAGAGCTGGTCGTTAAGGATGCCACTGGCTGATAACCAAGTGCGTATTATTGCCCCCTCTATAACCAGATGGCTTTCTCAACAAACAGGCAGCTTAGTTGCTTAGCAATCCTACATTTATTTCAGCACAATAATGCTAGATGACGTATCAGCCATAACCTGTATCGTGATAGCATTCGGACCAAGAAAAATGCGTCTGGCCCCACGCTGGCTAGCGCAGAACATTACGTTCTCTTCTGTCAAAGTAACGCGACACAAATGAAGGAATAAGATGCAGATTTGCACGCCCCCCCCCCCCCCCCTCCGAGTGTTATTTTTTGTGAGTTTGAGTTTATTTTCAACTTGTCGGGGTTCAAATCGGCCAACGTGCCGGTGTACAGTTTCATTCATTTCCATTTTGCGCAGCGTCCACCGTCGAACCCATCCCATGAGTCATGTTTCCTTTCGTTTTTTTTTAAAAAAAATATTCCGTTGCTTTTGGTTTTGCTCTGTGTGGTCTTTGTGAATTCATAACAAGGGTGACAAATATCCTGTGAAGTAAGTCTAGGGGATCTCCTGAGGTGTCACTGACATTGTCTCCTTGTTCGTAGAGTATGAGTCAGCCTCCTTTATGCTCTAGCAAATGTTGGCAAAGGCAAGCAATAACCTACAACTGGTCAATACAATAAACTCACATTGAACCCACTGGAACAAGCTCTGTTGTTCACTAACACTTGGGGAATTCCACTGCAAGCTTAGATTGAAATTATCACTTGTGTTCGTGTT